CTGCAACATCATGGAATCTTGGTTCAGAGGACATCTACAAGACCTTCTTCACGGCTGCTGCAACTAACCCATCTCTTTGGGAAGGACCTACTTCCACTGGGGAATCCCGCCTACCAGTGACTGCCCTCGTCTGCTGCCCGTCCCTTCCACTGACGCCTATATAAACGCCAGTCTTTTTGTCTTTGCTCCAGACTCTCCTCCACCACGATGCTGTGAACACTAACTCCAAGGCCGAGGGACTGATTACCTCATCTTTTGTATATAGTTCTACTGTCTTCCTATTATGTCCTAGAATCTGTATTGATAAAGCCACTGGATGGCGAAACGTCTACAATAAAGATATCCAGATGTTGCACATGTGTCTTAACTTTCAAATTATATTCCTCTCGGCCATGGACTTGCTTGATACAACTTTCTCATCTTTTTGAAAATCAATTGGATGGTTAAAATCTCTCACATGAATAAATAGAGCATTGGAATCTTGTCCAGTTCTAATGCCATATTTATGTTGTTTTAATCTTAGTTCGAGATTTTTTACCAGTTTGACCGTAATAAAGTATCGCAAATTTTACAAGGAATCTTATAGACACACCCATCAGCATTTTGGGGGGAATTCTTTATCAAAAGTTTTTTTACAACTTTAATATTAAAAGTCTTAAGAAGAGAAGGCATATCAACCAAGTTTTCATGGTAAGAGAGAACCAACATATTTTTAGTTGAATAACGCTGGTTGTCCCTTTTTGGATTGTAAAAAGCATTTCTGAACATATCTGAACCATTTAGCTCTATTAGGGAGGATTGTGTTAAGCAACCTTGTTTCAAAAAATTCCATGTATAGGTTACTAAGAACAGGTGAAAGAGGATTTACCATTGCCATACCAAACTTCTGAGTGTAAAACTTATCATTAAATACAAATTTTGCATCAACAATGCAAAGTTTAATAAGTTTAATGATAGTAGGAACTGGCAATGGTAAATCATAATTAACGAGATCTTCAGATAAGAAACTTAATAAATCATCAACAGGAACTTTCGTAAACAAGGAAGTAACATCAAAACTAACCATGTTAAAATCATTTAAGTCAGTCAAGGAGCTTAATTTATCAACTAAATCTATATTGTTTTTAACATTGAAGTTAGAAATTTTGCCAACAATAGGGCTCAAAATATCAACAAGCAGTTTGGATAATTTATATGAAACTGACCCTATGGAGCTAATAATTGGTCTGACTGGATTCCCTGGTTTGTGTGTTTTTATTAGTCCATACATGTAAGGTAAAGATGGATTAGTGGAAGTAAATTGTTTGACTAATTCATCTTTGCCTTTCAGTAGAAACTTAATTGTTTTAATGAAATTGCTGTTAACGATTTCTAGGTTGGTAGTTAACGATCCCTGTAAAACAACTTACATTCTACCCAAAAAATTATTTTATCTAATGTATCTTAAATTTTTCCCAGATTTTATTAATTATAAATGAATTCAATTTGTATAACCCAAAAGCAATATTCATATTATTTTCAAAACTATTTTTTATGAGGATTGATTCTCTTGTATTCTTATCGACAATGGATTTACTAGATACAACTTTCTCAACCGTTTGAAAATCAATTGGATGGTTAAAATCTCTCACACGAATAAACAGAGCATTAGAATCTTGTCGTCTTCTAATACTATACTTATGTTGCTTTATTCTTAATTCAAGACTTTTACCAGTTTGACCGTAGTAAACTTTATCACATTTTACAAGGAACCTTGTAGACACAGACGTCAACATTTCTGTGGCAATTTTTCATCAAAAGTTTTTTTTTACTGTATCAAGAATTTTAAATACAGTTTTGATATTAAAATTATTAAGTAGAGAAGGCATAACAACCAAGTTTTCATAGTAAGGTAGAAATAACATATTAAGTAGACATAGCTGTTCCAGTGTACACTATTATTCTTCACATCAAGATAAAGTTATACTGTCTATTTTCTAATCAGTGTTTTGAGAGCTTTGCGTATTTGTAGTCCAGAATTCATAGATGAGAAAATATCCAAAATTTATGAAATGGCTAGTGATCTGAAATACCCAAGAAATTTAATTGATAAATCCTTTAAAATTGGTACAAATACTTTATACAATTCGAAAAGGGCAACCAACCTTATTCAGATAAAAATACGTTGGCTCTCCTTTACAGTGAAAACGTACTTGATATGCTTTCTCTGCTTAATAATTTTAATATCAAAGTTGAATTTAAAAATATTGATACAGTAAAAAAAAAAATTGAAAAAAAAAATTATCCCTCAGAAATGGTAATGGCTGTGTTTACAAGATTTCTTGTATAAAATATATGATAAAGTTTATTACGGTCAAAATAATTTATACTTGAAAAGTTTTGCCACTGCAGGTGGCAGCAACATCTGTTATGGCCCATGTACTAATACAATATATGGTAACTACTTGATGTTCCCTGAAGATTCTTCTATAATAAGGAACATGGAGTTTGTCATGGAGAAAGTCGTGTGGAGGAACTGCAGTTGATTTAGGTTCAAACGAGTGACGACGAGGAACCTAGTTGACCACACCTGAAGACGACCCTTGAGGGACCACTCAGCGAAGGCAGTCAGGAAAAGAGTATCGTCACTCACCACGACCACCGTCACGCACCATGACACCTGCCGCAGCTGTTAAGAGTAAAATGGTAGATGTTCTGTGACCTAACTGCCTCAGCAGTAATGCGAGTGTGGCCTGACTACATCAGCTCTAATATATGAGTGATCATTCAGTCCCAGAAATAATGTATATTAAATTTTATTTTTATTGTAAGAAGAGAGCCACCTACAATTTTAGCGTCCGAGAAAACTTTGGGAAGCTGTTGATGTGTTAGGTTTAACATTGCGTTTCGTGATTTTACCGTAAAAATGGCCACACTTCCAGGAATCCGTAGTGTTTTTATTAACTGGAAGAAACATACAATAATAGAACTTGATTGTGATGGCAGTATCAAATGATTAACAAAATTCTTAGTCCAAAACCAAACACAAATGCGTTATTGCTCGTTCACTTTCCTTACAGTGTTGGTAGGAGAGGTAGATGTGCTGTCATCTGTGATGATAAAAACAGAGCAAGGAGGACGCATCTCTGTTGACAACACAGCGTCAAGCATAGCGCCCTCTGTTAATGCTCTTGCTTGTGCATCTGCGACATATGAAAATCTTATTTTAAATCCTCAAAAAAATTGCAGGTACACTATGACTCATTACCAACAGTTTATACGAGATATCCTGCTGATTGCTCACTGGTTAAGCATCAGGATCCAAGAAGATCCTCAGATAAGCTGTGAAACAATTGAACTGAGCAGAATTAATAAAAAAATAAAAATAAGTATTGCCTTTGAATTCAGGAAAGAGCAAGGTGACGAGAGTTAAAAAAATTAGGCAATGAAAGATTGGATATTAGACTCGAGGGAGAGATCATGGAACAAGTGAGTATGTTTAGATATTTCGGTGTGGACGTGTCGGTGTATCTATAAGACACGAGATGAACCACAAAACTGACGAGGGGAAAAAATATGAATCGAGCATTGATGAATCTGTAGAGGGAAAGAACGTTATCCATGGAGGCAAAGAGGGAAATGTATGAGAGTACAGTGGTACTAACACTTTGATATGGGAGTGAAGCACTGGTGGTGAATGTTACAGCGTGGAGGTGGCTGATGGCAGTGGAGAAGCCGTTTCTGAGGGCAGTGTGTGGTGTGAATTTTATGCAGAGAACTCTTTGCTTGGAGATTAGAACTAGGTGTTATGTTATTAAAAGTATTATTCAGAGGGCTGAGAAGGGATTGATGAGGGGGTTTGAACATTTAGAAAGGGTGGAGAAAAATAGGATAACTAGTAGGGTTCGCCATAGAAAAAGTTGGAGACGGCGGTAAAGGAGTTTTGCATGTAGTGGCGTACCTAAGGTATGACAGATATGGCATGTGACCTAAGCGCTACTGAGCTGTTTCTTTTAAAGTCAGACAAGCCATCCTCGGATAGTGTAAAAAAAAAAAGAATTTTCTTCAGATGAATGATGTCTTAGATTATCACTCGTGAGAAGCACTTGGATGAATAGATTGTTAAACCACTTATATCAATTATTACTTAAAATACAGTGCTGGGAGCTACATTACCCACGTACCTCACAGTACCACTGCTCAGTGCCACCTGCCGTTCATGTGCGCAAACTAGTGAGGTAATCTATTTTTTTTTTTTTTTTGCAAAACATATTAAATTTAATGTTCTTTTTAAAAGTGTCATTTCGTTATTTCCGAGCATTGTGTAAAAAAGACCATGAAACATTTCTTTACAAAGAAGAATGAAAGTGGAGTTGAAAGACGGAAGAGACGAAAGTTGGACGTGGAGGAAGTCAGCAAGTTAAGAAAAAGTTGTTCGACATGGTCCATGGAGTCGCCTGCACCTGGCATCACATGCCAAGGAGAAAGACAAGTCAGATAAATCAGATATTGGCGAGATTAAAAGTGAGGATGCCAGAGAGAACGTGGACATGACAGCAGGTGAAGACGATGGTGGTGGTGGAGATGTTGAGTTTATTGACGAAATTTAACCTGCCGTAATTGAACCAGGCGATAATGAACCTTGTGAACTGGATGGTGTTGAAGAGCCTAGAACTGTCATACCAAAAGTGATTAAATTGCGTGACAGTGGACTTCTGATAAGGATACTGAAAAAGCAATTCTGCCTGATGCGTTGAGAACATAAGCTATATCTTGGATCGAAGTGTTTCCAGAACAGAGAGGGGGCCTTACCTACCAACAAAACTTTGTTCCAGAGGGAATTGGGAAATGCTTATGGTGAGGAAGTGACTCGCTCATGGCTAGTTTATTCCCCTTCTAAAAGGTCTATATTTTGTATGTGTTATCTTCTCTTTTCCAGGTCAGACGATCAATCTCCATTGGAGCTATTAGTCATCGGGAGTGCTTCACACAGTGGAGAGACATGGAGTGAAATTTATCTGAAGATAGAGGAGATATTGACGCAGAACTTCAATCACAGAGAAGGGAAAGCAGAAGTGGCGGGATATCTTGAAGAGAATCCTTGAATGCATAAAATTCCTTGCTACTCAGAACCTAACTTAGCCAGAACTGAGCTTCACTTAAGGGTGAAGATGACTATTGTGGAAAGTTTCCTTGGCTTATTGAAACAACTGACCATCCCAGTCTGTAGAAAAATGCATGCAATACTCACTCAACATGCAATACGCACTCAAAAGGGAGTGATGAAACCGTTCCAAGCACCTTGGGACTGAGGATGATAGGCTGTGGACAGCTTTTGTCGAATTCCTAGCCTACTTAAAGCTTCTTTAAATGATTTTACTGTAAAATTAGTGCCCTGGTCACTTTGGACAGACTGAGAAATGCAAGCTGAAAATAAACTTAATCATGGCTTTACGAATGGCCTTGGTGTTTATTCTACGCTTAGTAATTTTTATCAAAAACAGTAAACAGGTATTGGTTTTCTGATTTGGCCTTTGGTAATGGTCCTATACAGTCAATAATTATGTCCGCAAAAGGCTCTCCATCTGCGGGTCTAATATAGTGTCCTGGCTTACCCACTTGCTGACACTCACAATTGGAAAGGATGTAACTACGCACATCTCGTCTTATACACGGCCAATAAAAAATATTTTAAGACTATATATAGGGTTTTAGTGACACCCAAATGTCCTCCTAAGTAGAATTGTGAGCAATTTTTAGGATACGAGTTTTTAACTTTGTAGGAATTCCCTCTTTCCCTTTCCTTCTTCTCCTTTGGGTTTTCTTCCTTGGGTATTTGGTCCATTTTTTCCCCCTCTGTGTTCCTGTTCCTACCCTTTGTGGGCCCCTAGCTCCCTTGTCCTTACCTGGACAGGCGCCAGGTAAGGACAAAAAACAAAACAAAAAAAGAGCACTGCTGGAGAGGTAATGGCCCACAAAGGTGGGACCTAAAAAAAGAGCAGAGGGGGGAACCCTTAGGGACAGAACGCAGCTAGGCGGAAGAAAAGGAGAAGAAAAGATCAGGTCAGGTCACGAGAACTCCGAAGTATGGGGCATCTGACAATGTAATCGGAAGGAAGGCATGAGGGGGAGAAAGCCAGGACTAAGATTCAAATCAGGAAAGTTGTGTACAGAATGCTTAACCATGACGGCCTCTGTGAAGGCTAGAAGAAGGGTTGACAATATTAGCTGAGGAGACCAGTCAGTAGGAAGATTGTGATCTCTAACATGACAGAAGAGAGAACTTTTGGTGTCGGCATGTCTAACGCCTCTTTTGTACACTTGAAGTCTGTCAGAAAGAGAGCAGCCAGCCTCTCCGAAGTATTGAAGAAGACAAGAGGAATAGGAAATCGACTAGACTCCTGAGGCATTAATAGAAGGATGAGAGGTACGAACCAGATTACTACAAAGTTTGGCAAAAAGTAAGTTTGATGTGTAAGGAACAGAGAGAGTTGTTGAGATTAGAAAGACTGCCCCTTCTGATTCCCTTCAATTATTAAATTCTAAATTTTAACTGCATTAACTTATGCCATTCTCTCCATTATTCCAGTTGCCTGCATTGGGAACCGAGGTTATGCTTTGCGGGGGGATATATTTTTCTTAACGCTCAGCGTAAGAAATATATGTAGCTCTGTTTTATTTTCCTTCCTCTAACTTTTCTAGTTAATTATGCTTATAACTCTAGAACATCTCAATCAACCGGCTTCCAATATTTAACATTTGTGCACGGTAGCGAAGACCAAATTCTTGAAATAAGATGATATCCGATATCCTGCTATATTTTAATTAAAAAAAAATCTGTATTTGCTTAACTGATATTTTCCTAATTTTATCGGCTTCACACATTTCTTAATGTCGGTGTGCAGAGTGCAAGACTCCTCAACCTTCGTTAAGAAGCAATTAGAATATACATATAAATTCATTTGAAGGCTGATCCAAATTGTAGTGAGAGAAAATATGAATTTAATAGAAGGAATGATAACGGAAACTAAAAATCACTGTCCCTTTCTTAGAGAAAAATATTAAAATGACGTACATTAGTTATAGATATAAATACAGCCATTTAACAGAACTGTGAGAGGTCTGTACATACCATAAGAAGGAGGCAACAGGGCAGCTCCTGCAGTGCCACTAGCAGCTAGAAGCAGCAGCAGCAGGATCAACACAAGTAGCAGCATTGATGGTACTGCCATAGTCGAATGTTATAATTAATATTTACGGGAGAAACGCTTATAAATTTAAAGCAATTACATATTCATTGATGTATGTGTATGAATTCATACATTCAGATCACTTACCGAAAATAAAACATTTGCAGCAAATGTACATGAACCTACTGAGATTTTGTAATTATGTAACTTTACATTTGTCACCAGAATTTACACTTGTTAGATAAAACTTGGTGCCTCTCTTGGGTCCAATACTATCGATTTAATCCTGGAAAAAAAAATCTCAGACCTCAGGACGATGGATGTCAGGATGAAAGACATCGACACACATGATGCCTTCCACCTACTCACCAGGTGCCTCTCAACCCCAAAACTTACCTACTTCTTGAGATGCTCCCCAGCCTTCAGCTGTCCGAAACTCAAGGAATATAACTCTATCCTAAGACCATGCTACAGAGAGTATTGAATCTTTCCCTCGAAGATGGACAGTGGCTGCAAGCCTCACTTCAAGTCAGGCCTGGGGGGCTGGGAGTACGCAAATCTTCCCAGATTGCCCTACCAGCTTTCCTATCCTCTTCCATAGCATCAAATGAGTTAATAAAACAAATTTTTTCGGACAACCTCAGTGACTCAGCAGGAATACAAGACCCTAGCTATGCAATGACATCACTGAATGGGAGACTCTTGCTGCTCCAGCACGAAAACTTAGTGCAGGATTGGCCTACAAACAGTGAAGTTGGGATGGCACCATCGCTAAAAAGGTCCTTGCCAACATGTTTAGGGCTGTAACATCAGACAGTGAGACTGCCCATCTCCAAGCTGTGAGTGCACTTCACTCTGGGTACTTCCTCCAAACAGCTCCCATTTCGGTAATGGGAGCATGCCTCTACCCTAAGACCCTCCGTATTGTAGTGGCTCTGCGCCTTGCTGCCCCAGTTCACACGGAATATACTTGTATTTGCGGCGATGTGCAAGCCGACCAATATGGTCTACAG